TGTACTTTATGTAGGAACATTCAGATCTCTGGCTAGGTGGGCTGCCAGCGGTCGTAACTCTTTATCTTCCGTTAGTGGAATGTAGTCAAATACATGTAATTTTGTCATGTGAGGGCATGTAACTGCTTTATGGAAAAAGCTGGAGTTAAGCGATGAAGATGCTCTATGACAGTTTCAATTTTCAAATCCTTGTAAAAACTCTTTGTTCTTCTTCATTCTTTTTAATGCATCTCTATCGATTTTGTATTACAAACAATGAAATCCGTCCATATGAATCACAAGTCAATCCTGAGCAGCTTTATTATGTACTTACATGTTAGCAAACACGTCATTATGCATTTACATGTTAAAAACAATCCTGAGCAGCTTCATTATGCATTTACATGCTAGCAAACACGTCCATTTTATTTACGACTGCCACTGGGAAACTTTTGGCCCGAATGGACAATAAATACAGTAAACCTATTGTACATGGCAGTAATGCAGCTGCTATATAAAACTGAATATACAATATTGTGTATATAATATGAAATGCAACTGCTATATACAATACATATACAACAAACTTAATAAAATTATACATATTTGTGCAGAAACGTATTGTTGCGTACGTATGGGTTCGTAATGCATTGAATTCACACAGAACCGGTTATAGCTTGATAAAATTTATTTCACGGAAAGAAACACTTTACAGTTCTGGAATTTTTCCGATCTACTAAAAACGTTAAACACAAAGCAAAGCAAAACACATCTAAAGAGCAAAGCTCACACGGAGATATCTCAGTACCTCGAAGTCGACTCTGAACAATAAAACTGAGAAACCAATGCTCGCTCCCGTCTTACATAGTTTTACCTCGGCCGCCGAAAAATCTCTAGTACCTTCCGCTTCTCGAAATTACTGGAAGGCCTATGAAGGCAGGATACGGTTACAGTTACATATAAGGGTAAATTAGAGTTATATGGAAATTGCCCTCAATAGGACAATAATACTCAACAAAATATTTATGCACTTTTTGCTTTTGTTAAGAATTGTTTCGTAAATTGTGCTAAAGCATAATAAATTTATAAAATGCTTTAAATTACGCCTTGTTTATAAAGATTCAAAATATTGTATAAATTGCCAAAATGGAAAGCAATGTCACTTTATAATATGATAGTGAAAAATAATCCATTAACCTATTCACCTATCCTATACTTATCAATGAATGGCCAAAAATATATGTTCAAATTGATAATTCACATTCAAAATGGCAGTCGTAGAAACAGACATTTAAATTTTAGATGATTAAAATTAAGGACAAAAAGTCGATTTAAAAAAAACCAAAGGACTTTTTAAGGACCGTACGAACCCTTCATAAATGTAGTTTAGCGTCACAGGACACTTAATGGCATCCAAATAAGCTTAATTTTAGTACAGAAGGATATGTTAACCTCTGCTTACCTGTTCTTCTCCTACATTATGCGGGGGGAGGGGGTATTAAAATTTGAGACCTGACCTGCCTTCTACAAAACAACATGCAGTAGTTGGTAACAGTTTTTTAAAGTTCCCAGATCCTGGCATTAAGAAATTTGCGTTAATGAACATACTATGCTATATTAGAAAAATATTTCTAATATACTATATATTTTTCTAATATACTATATAAGAAAAATGAATAATTAATGGCGAAAGAAAATGAAAAACTGGCAACTGGTTTTTTTATACGCTATACATCCATAATTTGTATCTGTTGTCGTGTCTATGATAAAGCCTATTCAAATAGTGAAACAGGCGAAGATGACAATCTGAAAAATGTTCATCATAGATATTCGGTCTCTTAACTCTTTGAGAGGCAGGAAAAGAAAATTAACTTTTTCAGTAAAACTCTTGTTTTATTTACTATATCAGGTGTTACAATAAAATTACAAATACAATTTTGTTCAAGACGCTTGAAAAAAATTACCACTTCTAGTGGTTAGTGTCAGTGACCACCACCCACAGAACATATCCCTACAAATCACTCTCTATCATACTCATGGAAACAGTTTTTCTTTTTCAAGCAGAATGCAACTTTACATGTGCTGCATTCCCACACTGTTCGTACATGCTTTTTCTTTGTGCTGCGGAGTGAATATCGTCGTGATGTTGTCTTCGACGGCTTGTTTTCTCGAAAACGAATTGCTGCATCAACTACTGGTTTATGTTTCTTAATTGCAATCTAATGAGCTACTAGAGAACTTCAGAAACGGACAGTCTTGAAAACCACTCACACGAGTGAGTAAGATGTTCAATAGAAAAGGTAATTACTGTAGGTAACCACCGCCCTTCAAAGAGTTAAACAAGATCCCAATTTTTAACAATTCAGCAAGGAGGCCGAACAATCAAAAATGTGTTTTGATGTTAGTTCTGTGCCCGGGCAGTTCTCACTGTTTCTGTAGGTTTTCCTACCCTTTCAGCAAATTTTCAATCCTCTGTAATGGCTAGTCTCACCTACTGGAATTGAATGTTCCTTCAATATGTATTTGGCCATGGCATTTGTGTCCAAGAGAATGACATTTACGGTATTATTATTGTTGAGATTTCGAGCCAATTTTGCGGTTGGCACAAATTTGGTGAGATCTCTGGCATTTTTCTTGGTCGACGGAATTTCACAAGATTTTACTTTAATATGTTTAAGGCTTACAACAATACGTCGGCTTTTACATCTAACGAATTTTTTTCCCGAAATTTTAAATTCAGAATTTTAATAACAAATATAGTGGCAGCTTTTATGACTTCAGACCAAAAGTTTCAAAGTCCATTCATTTAACTTCGTTACTGTGAAATGTATTTTTTACATGTTCAAATATCCGGCATTTCCCGAGTTCTCATTATCGGATATGGAAATCTGAAGTGATAGCTTTCTTACTTAGATTACAGTTAGTCTACTGTTAATTTTGCTACTTATACATCTGAAACAACAGAAATAAAAGAAACCGATCAAACAGAACTGGCTTAAAAGAAAATTATTCATTTAAAAACAGAAAACATTGTCACATTTGAGAATGTCTCAAAGTTTTCATTTAACAGAAAACTTTGCTTGTTTTAGAGTTTGTGAAAACAATGGAGCGCTTTGCATACGCATTTTCTATCCCTCAAGAATAAATTTGCCCAATCTAGTGAAATTAAATAGAGGGACACATATTATTAAATACACTCTTTTGCAAGAACATCGAAGCACCAAGAAAGACTTTTGCAATTGTGATGAAAAAACATCTTGATCGACCATGCAAATTATGAAAGTTTCAAGGCAAATGAACAGGAATTGCGATCATGTTGCCCATTTCCAGCGCACCGTTCGAAAAGTATAAAACCAGTAACAGAGACGGAAAATTTATCTTTTTTTTTTTTTGGTTGCTGCCATTGTAATTCCGTAAAGAAGCAACTAAAGATGCCATTACGATGATATGGAAGACCTTACAGACACGACTTCGAACATGGTCGCATTGTAGGGATGCGTGAAGCTGAGTGGTCATACCGAGCAATAGGCCGCCACGTGCAGCATGCAGACACTGTTGTGCAAAGATGTTGGCAGCAATGGTTGCTACAAGGAAATTCTCTACAAAATGAAGGCTCCGGAAGGCCAAGGATCAGAAATGCGAGGCAAGATAGGATGACTATTCGCCAGGCCCGAACTGGCAGGGTATCATTGTCAATTTTTCAACGCACTACAGCTACGTCTATACCTCCCGTGGTACCGTCCACCTTCTCATGGTGCTTGTTCTGAGGCGGGGTCACGCTCACAAAGGCCTTTAAGACGTTTGCCTTTGACCGAACAACATCGGCAGAGTCGTGTCGCAGCCAATCATTATGGCTGCCATCAGACTGGCATGGTATAGTGTTCAGCGATGCATTCCGCTTCACTCTTGAAGCAGATGACCACCGTGTTCGTGTCTGGAGAGGATGGGGACGGCGGTCCCAATCAGCCTTTGTTTTACAAAGGCATACAGCCATAACCCCTCGTGTGATGGTGTGGGGCGCTATTTCTTATGCAGCAGGTAATCTTTAGTCATCCTCCGTACATCTTTAACAGCTCAACGGTATGTTGATACAATTATGCGGTCGGTTGTATTACCCTTCATGGCACATCATCCTGGAGCCATTTTCAACAAGATAATGCCAGGCCACAGACCGCTCGCATATCTCTGGACTGTCTCCGTGCGGTTGATACTCTTCCTTGGCCAGTAAGGTCACCAGACCTTTCACCAATCGAGCATATCTGGGATATGGTAGACCGCCAGATTTGGGCACCACAAAACATCGCAGATCTGGAGAGACAACTGACGAATGCCTGGCAGAATGTGCGCTGGGTGACACCAGGAACCTCTACCACTCCTTGCCTCGACGAAGTCTAGCATGCATTGCCGCCAGGGGTGGTTCGATCAACTACTATTTTAAACACTCAACAGGTGATTGTGAGCCGTGAACAGGTACTTTGACCTTGATTTTTTAATCATTTTATTATCTGTGTATGAGCTATATACATATTCAGTTTCATCAAAAACAACCCCTTCCTTCATGGTGCTTCGATTTTTCTGCAAGAGTGTATAAAAGACACACTATTTGTAAACAAGGTAATGTGCACTTAATGGCCATATACAAGAGACTGCCAGAGTTCTTTTTACTTTTCGCTTTTATGACTGTTCTCTTGACCTTAGATGTCTTTCCTAAAGTAGCTACTTCGAAATGTACAGAATTGGCAGGCATTTGTGCCATGAAGAAATGAAACTTCAAAAAGACTCCGGCAAATTAGATTTAAAGTAAAATGTACAATTTAAGTATTAAACTAGTTTTAAAATGAATTTAACATAAAATGTAATTAAACACTAAGCTAAGGTTTTGGCCAATTGGCTAAAAAGTATTATGCAAAAACCCCAGCAAAGAAAAAATATTTATTAAAATGCTGTTAAACACGATGCCACTAAAATAATTAATATGTGTACAATCTTGAAAATAAAATTAATAGAGTACCATTTAAAAATTTATTGCAAAATTAAATACAAATGTTACTCATTACATCTTCCTGAAATGCTCTACAAATCTTTGCTATATACAAGGTGTCCCACAAAGGAGGCCCGTTTTGAAAGTTAAATAACTCGAAAACAAAGATCGATAGAAGAATGAAACAAAAGGTATGTTTATTGGGACAGCCATTAAAAACTTATACAGAAGGTTCACATTTAGTTTCAATTGTTTCCAATAGTTAGCGCTATAGTCACAGTGCATTACAGAAAGAAGTAACAAACATATCATCTGCAAATTTTCATTGCAATCACGCCACAATCTTTTCAAAATGTCCACTTTTCACAGTACAGAGGTGATGCAAAGGAAGAACTAAACTTTCACACACCTTCCGTAGTGTGTCAATGAAAATGGATACACATGCCTCCCAGATTGACTTTTCAAGCTCGTCCAATGCTGCAGGCTTCTTCTGGAAAACAGTGTCCTTCATGATGCCCACAAAAAGTAGTCACAAGTGGTAAGATTGGGTGAGTATGGAGGCCAGTCTGTGCCTGTTCCAGTAAATTTGGATTAGCCAAAAGCCATAACTCTATCTCCAAAGTATGCTTCAAGGAACTGTTCGGAACACCTATTCGGTGCAGTGTTGTCCGACTCCATCTTGCACGAACCACGAAGTGTCTGGTCAATCCTCCAACGCTAACAATGTGGCAACAAATTGTTCCAACTTTTCAACATAATGGTAAGAAGTGATTCACACAAGAAGGGAAATATCGAATCCATCATCAATCATTATGAGAATTTCATCCGCGAAGTCTTCTCTCTGTTGCACAGCTCTAACTAGATTGGCTATAACTCAGAATGGCTTGGTGACACCGGATCTTGAACAGAAACATGTGTACCTCTTTCTAAGTATTCTGTGCATACTGGATCACATTAAGGCAGATCCTGCTGGCAAGTCTTCAGGTGGAGCTCCTCGGATTTTGCTGAATAAGTGTAGGAACTATTACGACATTTTCAGGAGTAACTACAGAATGACTGGGACGAACATTCCCCATTAACTCATCAGCCATGCTTCCTGTTCGTTGAAATTTATCGAACAGCACATGAATCATTGTTTTCGAATCAGGACTTTTTGCAATGCTAAATCGGGATAGAAAATTGTGCCTTATTGCAGTGGGACTGTAATTTAACCTGTGAAATTCCAGTACCAGAAAAACACGTTGTTCAATGGAATACATGATTTCATGCATGGATGGATGGATGTCCTTTGATACTCGAACGTTCTTTCACATTTCAGTAACAGTGGAACTGTCTGCAGAATGATCGCTCTCAATCTGAATCCTCGAGCGTAGAAGTCTTCGACCTGGCAGCCTCTACTTTCTTATGTTACTTCTGGCACAACAATCTAAAATGAGACGTCTTAAATTCCGTTAAAAAACAGATAAACATCATTAAAAAGCAATTAAAGATAAGCAACGGCAAAAGTTTAGCATAAATCAGGTGATAGGGAGCAATCAAACGCATTGAAGATCGTAAAGAAAAATTTCCCCAAGTTCATAATTTTCTTGATTAAAATAAAATAAAAGTAGGAAAAATAAATAAAAAAGCACAGTTCACTGATCGCTCTGGACTTCGATCGCTCTTTATGGAGTGGTAATATAGCGAACAGTGCCACCTGTTGGCAACTTTTGTAACTAAATGTGAAACTTCTGTATAAGATTTTGACAGTTGTTCCAATAAACAATAGCTTTTAATTCATTCTTCTGGATCTTTGTTTTTGAGTTATTTAATTTTAAAAATGGGGGGTCACACACCATGTATTTGAATATCCCAGATAGCATAAAAGTTAATCTGAAAAATTACTCTGAAAGTACCTCAAGGAAAAATATAATTTGCATAATTTAAGTTACATTAAGTGTGTGTGTGTGTGTATTATGGCAAAGCCTCGAGGGCTATCTGCCTAAGAGGAGGGATGCCTTCGTGGAGGACTTTCTAAGGGAAACTGGCTCGTATACACGTTACACATGGGGAAAACCATGAAAACACCCATGCAGCCAGCCCGTTCGCGGGATTCGAACCTCGGACCGAACTACCAGTGTTCAGCGACTTTACCGCTCGGCTGCTGGTGGGCATAAGTTACATTAAGAGACAACAACATGATCGACTTAGCTTATTTTTATGAATTTCTCATTGATTTTTTCCCCCACAGAATTTGCTTTTCCTTTGACACTTAAAACCGTGTTTCAAAGACATGGTCTAAATACAGAAAAATTAGAAAACTATGAAAGTTGAATATTTATCAAGGAAAAAGGAGATTAGCAGCCTTACTTTCAAGTCTTAATAGTTATCTTTTATGTTAGTTTCAATAATACTGTATATCTGAAGCATACGCTATTATATTTTATACAATAATTGAAAATATTTTTGTTACATATTGTCTTCCTTTAAAACTTATTAAGAATTTTCTTTCAGAAAAAGAACTTGTTTATTTCTCTTATATTTCGTGAAAAAATATTATCACCAAATCTCAGAAACTGAAGGAGAAACAAGCCATTTTCTTATATAGATGTAATTTTTAAATCTAACCACACAAAAGCATAATAAAGATAAGAAGGAAAAAATAATGTTAGAATTATGTTATGATTATATTAGGCAATTACATAATTTTAATTACTATAGTTTTAGCACAAAAAAGTTTTGAATGTAAACTTATAATTCTATATTTTTCTGCAAGAAAAGTAACAAAATATCAAATAAAAAGAGAAATTAGTCTTTTAACATTTTATTACATAACAGAAGTATATAAATGAAATTTACACAACATATTTATTCAACTTTTATTCATCATAGTAGAACTTTCTTTTTGGCTTCTCTCGTTTCTTCTTTTCTGATGCAACTGAATTAAAAATATATAATCATTTTATTGCGAATAAATTGATTTTCAAAACATTAGTATTCACTAATAAATGTGACACAAAATACAGTAACAACCTCTATTAATCAGGTCTCTACTTACTGAAGCAGCAACGAATTTAAAGAAATGACTGGGAAAAAAAAAGTAACATTAGAGTGTAAAGAAAATCAGTAACATTTGCAAATTCTTGTATCAGTAATTGGTCTTTCAGCCTTTATATTATTTATGATGGGTCACTTAATGACTTTTCTACTGTATGTTACAATATAGTTTACGTGGCTTATACAGGTTTCGTAGCCACATTTTAGTTAAAGAAATAAGCACCTATAAGCACTTTTCAAGCATATTTTAAGAAAAAAAAAAAAAAAAATAAGCACCTGTCTAATAACATACACGACTGCATAACCTTAAAAGAAAAATTACACTTGCAATTTAAAATATGAAAAATTCAGTATTTATTACGAGAGAATGAGAATTACTCAACCATGGAAAACAATTAAATTTTTTTAAAAATTTTAAATAACAGTTCAATTTACAGAACTACGTAGCGTATTCGGAAACTAAGTACCGTTTCATTTTAGCGCCATCGCAGCGCAGTGGTATGCATCCCGCGCATGCGCACTAGTCTTTCTTGTTCACTGACTTTCAATTGTTGACATTTTGGTTGCTCTATGTTGTGTTTTCAGTTTGCTGTGCACATTCAAAATGTTTAAGACAATTAGTTCTCCCGCTGACTGTGAGATTCGTGCCGTGATTAAATTTTTGAACACGAGGAATGTTAAACCGGCCGAAATTTATCGTCAAGTGGCAGAAGTTTACGGTGAGTACGCGATAAGTGATGGAATGGTGAGAAAGTGGGTAAGAATGTTTAATGCAGGTCGAACAAATGTCCACGCCGAGGCTCGGAGTGGTCGGCCTTCTGTTGTCACCGATGATTTGGTAAGGAAAGTTGATGAAGCAATTCATGAGAACAGATGCTTCACAATGACACCTCTTTCAGAGGCATTTCCACAAATTTCACATACTGTTTTGTTCGAAATTGTGTCTGACCGCTTGAATTATCGCAAACTGTGTTCCGGATGGGTTCCAAAAATGCTCACTGATGTCCACAAAACAAAGCGACTTGGTAGTACCCTGACATTTCTCACGCGGTACAGTGATGAGGGAGAAAATTTTTTAAACCAAATTGTGACAGGTGATGAAACTTGTTTGGGTCATTTCACACCAGAATCGAAACAACAATCGATGGAGTGGAGACACACTCATTGTCTGAAAAAACAAAAGTTCAAAGTGACAATGTTATCACAAAAAATCATGTGCACTGTCTTCTGGGATAGGAAAGGCGTTTTGCTTACTGAATTTCTTCCCAGAGGTGAAATTATTAATGCGGCACGATATTGTGAGACTTTAACAAAACTAAGGCGTGCCATTCAAAACAAACGAAGAGGAATGCTCAGTAAAGGAATTGTGTTGCTCCATGACAATGCTCGGCCCCATACTGCTGGTGTCACTCAATCGTTTATTCGACAGTTTCATTTGGAGCAGTTCGATCACCCGCCGTACAGCCCGGACTTGGCGCCGTCCGACTATCACTTGTTCCTGCACATGAAGCACGAGCTTGGTGGCAAGCACTTTGGATCTGACGATGACACGAAAAATGCTGTGGAGTCGTGGTTATCGAAACTGGCGGGAAGTTTCTTTGACGATGGCATACAAAAAGTGGTCCCCCGCTATGACAAGTGTTTGATCATTGGTGGAAACTATGTTGAAAGATAGTTTAAGACATGTATTTTCACGTAAAAATAAAATTGGATTCGAAAAAATTGCTTTACTATTTTTTTTCCCCCCAAAATGGTACTTAGTTTCCGAATACGCCTCGTAGTTTACAATGAGAGGGGGAAAAAAATATCCAGAACTAAATTATATTACAAGATTTAATGATGGAATTTCAGTTCAAAATAGAGAAAGTAAATAATAATAAGCCATATTTATTATATTAGCTTGGCACCTAAAAATAAATACAATTTATTTTTCCACTCCTATTAATATTTAAATAATTTAACTTAAAATTCTGAAACATTTTCTAAATTTTCATTGTATAACAGTTTTCCCTTAACAGGTACTACAAGCAATGTAATTTAAGTAAAAATGAGTAAAAAGAGAAAGTTTTCCGAAGTCAGAAAACGGGAAATTGCTTCATGCAATCATCCTTTAACAGTAAAAGCTTAACTAACCGGCATACTTGGAAATTGCCGAATATCTGAAAATTCTGAATAGTCGAGCATAACTGGTAAAAGAGGAAAGGGGGGTAGATAGTAGCCGTTTTTTAGATTTTTCAGCTAAATAATGCTTTTGACATTTCGATATGTGAATTATATAAAAAATAGTCCAATGGAAGTGAAAAATAATCCGCGTAGCAAGCACAGTAAAACTCTTTAATCTCTGCGAAATATGGCAAACATTATTGCGCAATACGTGAGCCTTAATTCTTCCGCACGTGATGTTACGCAATCAGAATCAACAACTGCCGGTATTCGCACCGTCATGCGCCTATGTGGCATGTTTATTATTGAGCAGGACACATCGCGCTCCGTGTGATATCCCTACTAGACTCATATTGATTAATAAAGAGATTTACCAACATGAGGTGTTTTTCATTCTAATTTTGAACAGACCAGCATTAAATATCCGGAATAGAATCATTCTTTGCTTGGATTGATAGACCGCAGAACTTTTAGTCCTTTTCAATCTAGGTTGGAAAGTGACCCCCCCCCCACCCAAAAAAAAGTCTGTTACTTGCTTTGCTACGAACTGTAACGGTTTCAATATTCGAGATTTTGTGGAGAAAGGGGAGAACAACCAACTTGCGTACTGTTTAATACATTGGGGGGGGGGAAACTATTTTGACTTTTTGATTATTTTCACTTTATTTATGCCATTCTGAATATTATTCCTTAGAAAACTAATCTGTGTTAAAACACACTCATTTTTGAAGTTTATCTGTACTTCAGCAGTTACTGCAAATATATTATAAATATTCATACATATGCTTATAATATAAGCATATTGATCATAATAAATGCAAATATGAACTGACCACGTGGAACGAGAATGTAAATTATTAAAATCTTGATAGAAATTCAAACATGTGTAGTATTGGGTGGGAGCTAAAGAATACGGAATTTACCAGAATTTCTACCGCTTACGCAATTCTTTGACCAATAGAACGACGTGCACCTGTCTGTACCTGCGCACACCAAAGGTTATGTTAATGCAGAGAAAGGGGCGAAAAGCGATTTCTGGGAGTATGATTCACCATCTGACGATCCATATAAGGAAGAAAAGATGTTTATTTAGTTTCAGCTTTGGTACAGGAAAAAAATGTGCTTTCGGGGGGGGGGGAAGAACACTAAAAGCAAAAAAAAGCACTAAGAACAAAAAAATAAGTGCTTCAGAGAAAAAGTAAGCATCTATAAGGGCTTTTATTTTTT